AGCTAACCTAGCTGGCCAACTGTATGATAACGTTAGCTAAAGCTAACCTAGCTGGCTAGCTGTATGCTACATGCTAGCATAAAGGCTCAGCTCAGGATTCTGACTCTGGAATAATGAAATAATAACAATAATAAATAATATAATAATAATAATAGGGGATGAAGTGCTGTTGATGCTAATGCAGATGTAGTTTTTCTGTTTTTGTAAACACCTGTATGGCCTTTCACACGTTTGAAATAATATAAACAATATCTATCACACTTTTGACTGCTTTTTTAATATACACAGTACTTGTACTTTTACTTATACTTGTACTTTCGATACTTGAGTAGCAATTTTTGAAATACTTCTACTTGCAATACTTAAGTACAAAAAAAATTGAGTACTTCCGTACTTCCACTTAAGTATGGAGTTGAAAGAATACTTCTACTTTTACTCAAGTCATTTTTTTGCATAGTATTTTACTTCTACTCCACTCCTCTACTCCAGTACTTTACACATCTCTGGTCAGTGGTGTGTAACGCCACGCCAGTAGCTGAAGGCTTGTTCCTCAGCGGGTGTGTCCCTGAGTGGGGAAAACATATTAGAAACACATGTTTGTGGTAAACCCCGGCCTTGACTGTACAGGACTGTCTCAGAAAATTAGAATATTGTGATAAAGTTCTTTATTTTCTGTAATGCAATTACAAATCATGAAATGTCATACATTATGGATTCATTACAAATCAACTGAAATATCGCAAGCCTTTTATTGGCCAGGTGTGGCTCTTTTGATGATTGCATCTGGCTCGCAGATAAAACTAAATATTCTCACTTGTATACAAATACAAGCTACAAATATCCATCCGTCGATTTTTCGCTGCTCATGTCCTGTTCAGGAGCAATTGTCCATTATTTTAATTGGATGATACTGGACTACGTTGGCCGTTGCAGCGTAAAACAGGTAAACGCCCACTTCTGAATCAGTCTGCTCGCTCATTAGCTCAAAGCTAACCCTTCGACGAAGAAGATGGCGAAAAGAAAAAAAGATGACGAGTATCGTACATTTCAGGACGAATGGACTGGAGAATTCGCCTTTGTGGAGAGAGCTAATTCTGCCGTGTGTCAAAATTGCATCGATGAAACGGTCTAATGTAAAGCGGCACTTCGACACGAGTATTATAACAACATTATTCAAAAGAATAAATTCAGAGGCTTATCATACTGACATTTAGTTGGAATTCACTTTTAAAATATATTATATGGCTCTCACTGAAATAAATTTCCAAATGTTTTGCTTTCATGGCTCTCTTATTCAAAAAGGTTCCCGACCCCTGTTGTAAAAAAACAGGTTAAAAAAAGAGAATGTTCAGACAAAGTTCAAATCAAGGCTGTGAAAAACTATTAGCAAAGTATCAAAGCAATAAGTATACAAGACTGTGGCAAAGTATCAAATCATGATCAACAAAACAGGGCTATGACAAAACTGTGGCTATGGTTCAAAACAAGACTATGGCAGTAAAGTGAACAAGGCTGTGACAAAATCAAACCTGAACATGGGGAGACGAAAACAGACAGACGAAACAAGAAGGACGAAAACGAACTGGCCCAGGACATGGGAAACGAGGACTATTTAGACACATGAGGGGGGGGAACCCCAGGTGAACACAATAGGTAATCAAGACATGACAACACACCAGACATTCCCCCAGACGTGACAACTGGGGTGAGTGGAAATAGGAAGCAATATAAAGTACCAGCTTCTTAGATACACCATGGTTTATCCATAGTTTTGGCTGGTATTCAGATATCCGGAGTGCACCTGAACGCATCACCTTCCTCTAGGTGTGCATGAGGGCGTGACGCAGACAAAAAACTCAGAAAAACCCAAAGGAAACCTATCTGAGAGCTCTCTATTCCTTCTTTTTTTGTTTTTTTTCTACTTTATTCCGACTGAAACTCGGGTTGTTTTGGTCAAGAATAATAACTGGCAACTGACCACCAAGACAAACTGATGACTCAATCTAAAGGCTGACAACATTGAAAGTAAATTGGTTTTAAAAAGCTTGAAGTGAATTCCACACCAGTGAAGTGGCACCACATTTGTTATTTTGCTTTTCCTAACTTTGTGAGGATACTAGATACCTGCCTGTGCCGGTACCTACTCCGGCCGGTTGTTTAAATTATTAAGTAATAACAAGAGGCTTTGGGCTATTCCATTTCATGCTCCCAACTTTATGGGAACAGTTTAAAGATGGCCGCCTCAACTTCCAACATTGCTTGTATATTTATAATATTTGAATAACTTTTTAAAGGGGTATTACACTATAATAATTCAGCAATATATATATATAGATATAGATGTTGCTGAATTATTATAGTGTAGTATATTTCAGCAATATATATATATATATACAGTGGGGGAAATAAGTATTTGAGCCCTTGCTGATTTTGCAGGTTTGCCCACTTACAAAGAATGCAACGATCTATAACTTTAATCATATGTACATGCTAACAGTG